GGCTGCTTCTGCTTCTGCTTCTGCTTCTGCTGTGCAACCTTCCGCTTCTGCTGTTGCTGCTTCGGCTTCTGTTGCTCCTCCCTCTTCTGTTTCGGCTGCTTCTTCTTCTGCGTCTCAATTGTGGTGGCCGCAAACGGATTCCAGCTGGCTGTACTCGCCGTGGTGGCCTCCTGTTGCTTGCGCCCATTACTCTCCGGCCGCTTCAACTCCTGCTTGGCAGCGGGAAACACGGTCGCCTTTGCGCCGCTGCCTTCCTGCTTCTTGGTCTTCTTTCCCCCCGTTGTCGCTGTTCGCCCTTGCTGCTGCGCGTGTGACTGCTGCTGCTGTTGCTGCTGATGCTGTTGTTGCTGTTGCTGTTGTTGTTGCTGTTGGGGCGGGTGCGGTGACGTTGACTGCGACACAGGCGTCAGCGTCACGCTGCGCGCCCCATTGGCTTCGCCATGCACATCCACGTTGCCGCGCGGAGAAATGGGACGAAGCGTGTTGTGCTGTTTCGCACCGCCAACAATGGCCGCAACACCCGCAACCGCTGTGCTCAGTCCTTCCCCGCGCTGCTTGCGCTGCTGTCCGGACTGATTCCCCTTCTTCTGTGTCGTGGGAGATGCCGCGGTACTGCCAGCGCCCTGGTCCTTGCTCTGATGCCGTGTCGCGGTAGCGACGGTGGTGGCAGGCTTTGTTGTCGTTGCCTTTGCTGCCGCTGCTGTGGCCGCTGCTGTGGATGTGGGCGGTGCTGTGGTGGTTGTGGTGGTTGTGGTGGTGCCGCTGGTGTCTGATGCGTGGTCTGTCAGCTGTGACATGGCGCGCGCCCGCTCCATGGCCGTCGCCGTCACCGTCTCCAGCACAATGTCCTTCTCGGAGCGGAGAATCTCCTGAAACTGCTCCTGCAGCATCTCAGACACCTCCTGCCCGTTGATGCCCATGATCAGCATGCCTGGCTTGAGGCCCGCAGCGCTCGCCGGTGTCTTGTCAAGCACGCGCGCTACTGTCACCTTCAGCTCAAAGTCAAGGTCCTCGTAGTGGAAGTCGGCGCCGACGGGGTCATTCGCCTGGTGCTTGTGCAGGGTGACAGAGACGAGCGCGTTGTCATCCGCCTTCTCGCGTGCCTGCTCGTACGCCGTGCGCGCGTCTTGCATCACGTCCTGCTCCTCCTGCTCAATGTCCACAATGAGGTCGAAGCAGTCCCGACACACGCGCACGGGCCGGCGGTTGGAGGACGTGCGCACGCGATCCGAGCAGCACGCGTGGCACATCACCTTGCCGCACAGCCTGCAGTGGTGGCGGCGAACGCGCAGCGAGAAGTTGAGCCCGCAGCCCTCGCACGAGGGCGTGTCGTTGCGCCACTTGCTCAGGTACCGGCGGCGAAGCAGCTCGCGCTCGCGCCTGAGGCGGTCCTTCAGCTCCTCAATCAGCTGATCCCGCCGCCGCAACTCCTCCTGCAGCGCTGTCACGCGCGCCATGTCCTCCACCTCGTCCCGGTGCTCCGTGTGCTCCTTCTTCAGCAGCGTGTGCGCCGTGTCTGTGGTGTGGTGCCGCAGCTTTTCAATCACCTCCTTGTGCTGCTCCAGCGCCAGCCGCTGCGTCGCCGTCAGCGTCTTCAGCTTCTCCAGCTGCGCCTTGAGCCGCGCAATCTCCAGCTCAAGCTCGTGGATGCGCTCCATTGCCCGCTCCAGTTTCCCCTCCACCTCCTCGCGCGCCTGCTGCAGCGCCGCGACCTGGTCCTCCAGGTCCGCAATCGTGTCCTGCGCCTCGGCCTTGTCCTTCTCCAGCTGCTCCACCTGCGAGCGCAGACTTGCCTCAGCAGCCTTCAGGCGCGCAATCTCCTCTGCCTGCTCCCGCAGCTCCTGCAGCAGCTTCTGCAGGCGCTCGCCCATGCTCATGTCTGCTGCCGCGCCCTCTTGCACGAGTTCCTCCTCACGGTCGTCACCGTGACCGCCGGCAGAGGCAAGCAGCGCCTCAAGCTTGCGATACTGCGCATCCAACTCGTCATACTGCTGCTGCAGGTCGGCCAGCCGCTCCTGTAATTTTGGTGTTTGGAGATGATGGAAGGAGGGGGTGTAAATGGAGTGCGTGAGTGGAGTTTGTGTTGTTTGTTGGACAGGGAGGGGGTAAAAGGGGGCGTGAAGGTTGGGAACAGGAAACAAGACACACACACACACATGTATCCAATGCACCCACACAAGCTATGTCACAACCAACACCACAACCAACAAATGAACAAACAAGCAACACGAGAGAGCGACACGCACAGATAACAAACCACGCGTACAAAGCAGCAAAGAACCGGAAGCTGCTGCACGCATAATCGCACCTCGAGTTGTGATTTCCTGAGCTGCAGCTGCTCCAGGTCTTGGCGCAGCTGGGCAAGTTCGCTGTCCTTTGCAGCAAGCTCCTCCTCCATCTCCCGGAGCGACCGCTCAAGCTCTGCCTGCAGCGCATCGCTCATTTCCAGCCGCTTCTTTAGCTGCGCGATGATGTCGCCGGCATCTGCGTCGCCCTGCTCGCCTTGGTTCTCAAGCATCTCCTTCACCCCTTGCAGGATGCGCTCGTACTCGGCCACCTTCTTCTTCAGGTCGCTGATTTCGGCCTCCAGCGCCGCAACTTTGGCTGCGTGCTCCTCCTTCAGCTTGTTCAGCATCTCCGTGAGGGACAGCCCGGCCTCTGCCGCTGCGCGCATGTTGGCGCTCACAGACTCAAGCTCTGCGCGGATGGCATCAAGCTCGTCCGTCTTCGCCTGCAGCTCAGTTTCAAGCGCCTTCACCTTCTCCTCGGCAGCAGAGAGCTGGTCGCGCAGGGCGGCCTCGCTTGCCTCCAGGTCGCCCACCTTCTCCTGCAGCATCTTCTCCCGCCGCTGCGTCTGCTCGAGCTCCTCCGCCTGCGCTGCCCGCGCATCCTCCTCGTCACGCAGCGCCTGCGTCACCCTGGCCACCTCCTCCTTGCTCTGCGCCAGCTCGTTCTCCGCCGCTACACACGCCTTTCGCAGTCGCTCGCGCTCGCGTTCCGCCTCTGCCAGCTGCTCTGCCAGTGCGTCCAGCCCCATGGCTGCAAACGACGCATCCTTGTCGTCGCCACCCTCGCCCGTGTCTGCGCCGTCCGCGTCATTGCCCTCCTTTGCGCCCTTGAGAAAGTCCATGACCTGTTTCAGCATGGCCTCACGCTCCTCCAAGCGCCCCGATACGTCGCGCAGGTCATCTTGCGTACCGGACAGGGACGCCTCCAGCTCCTCCTTGCTGCGCGCCAAGTCCTTCCGCTCCGTCTCCAGGCCGCGTACCTTGGCCTGCAGCGCGTCTACCTCGTCCTCCAGCTGCGTGATGGCGTCCTGCATGTGGTCGTGCTCGTCCTTTGCCCGCTGCAGCTGCAGCGTGAGGTTGCTCAGCGCGTCCGTGTCCCCGTCGCCCTCGCCGCCATCCTGCGGGCCAAGCGACTTGAGGTGCTCCATCACGCGTGTCAGAAGCTCCTCTCGCTCCTGCAGCCGCGCCTGTGCCTCTGCCAGCGCCGCTTGCGCCTGCTCGCACTCCCGCCCGCTGCGAAGCTTGTCTTCCTTGAGCTGGTCCACGAGCTCCGACAAGCTGAGCCCAGCCATGGCCGCCGTCTGCGCGTTACCCTGCGACTCCGCCAGCTCCTTGCGCACGGTGGTGAGGATGCCCTCCATCTCGGACTGCAGGCTCTCGTATTGGCTCTGCGCCTCCGTCAGCTGCAGGTTGAGCCGCTTCAACTCCCGCTCCTGGCCCTCTGCGGACGTCAGCGCCGCCTGCACCTCGGAGTCTGCGGCACGCTGTGCTCGCATGGCGGCCTCCTCTGCCTGCGCTTTCGCCATTGTGCTTTGCGACAGCGCCTGTTCGCGCTCTGCCCGTGCGCGAGCCGCTGCTGCCTCGGCCTCAACCAACTCCTGCCGCAGGCCATCAAGCTCCGAGTCCTTGTCCTGCAGTTTAGCCCTCAGTGTGTCCAGCTCCGTGTCTGTTGCCTGGCGCGCGTTGAGGGCCTCTGTGAGCTGCTGCTGAAGATCGTCCATCGCCGTGCGTGACGCCTCGGCTTGCTGCTGCAGGCGCTGCATCTCAACCTGGCTGGCCTCCGCCTTGCTCTGCATCTCCTCCACCTCCTCCCGCAGCTCACGAATGTGGCTGTCGCGTGTGGTGACGGAGCGCTGCGACGCGTGCGAAGTGGACACTTGTTCCTGCAGCCGCTGGTTCTCGTCTTCCAGCTCCTGCAGACTGGCCTCAAGAAACTCCTGTGCTTCACGGTGGCCCTTGAGCCGCGAGCCAAGCGTGTCGACTTGCACCAAAGCTTCCTCCAGCATGCCCCGCAGCTCGGCGTTCTCCTCCTTGTACAGCTGGTGCTCCTCCAACACGATGGACAGGTCTGCGTCACCCTGCATGATGGATGCGCCCTTTGAAGATGACATGAGCATCTCTGCCACGCCAGCCCATTCGGCCTGCTTTGCGCTGTACTCGTCGCTCACACTCTGCAGCTGCTCCTGTGTTGTCTTGAGCGCCTCCTGCACCGCTGTAAGCTCCTCCGTGTGCTTCTGCCGCAGATGCGTGACCTGTGTGTGTGCGTGTGTGTGTGTGTGTGTGTGTGGTGCAGGGAGGGCATCATAGGCAGCAGTGTAAACATGGCAAAGAATGAGACGCGCGAACCGTGATTATGTGAAGACACAACACACATACACACGACGGGTGCACGCGCGTGAGCCGCGCAAACAACACACATACACACGCACGCACGCACACACACATACACACGCACGCACACACACATACACACACACTTGCACACTCACACACCAACATGCCCTACACGCCATCAAATAGGATGTACTGACGTAGTGTTGAAAGTCTTTGAGGGCCTCTTGGGCGCCGGCGTCGTCGCTGCCTTCCGATGGAGCGGCTGTGGCATCGACTTTGCTGCTGAGCTGCTCCTGAAGCTTGGCGATGAGAGCAAGCTGCGTGTCGCCCTCGGCCTCAGCCTCCTCCAGCTTCTGAGCAGCGGCTTTGTGCGCGTCCACAGCAGCCTCCTTCTCCTGCTGCAAGCTGGTCACTTGCTTCTTCAGGCTGTCGATTTCCGACTTGAGGGCTGCGTTGCGCGCAGACTGCGCAGCCTTTGCGGCGTCGGAGCCGGACCGCGCAGGCGTGCCGCCGTCATCCTCTTGCCCCGGCTTGCTCAGCCGTGATAGGACAGACCCAGACCGTGCGCGTGCATCTGGATACAAGTGACTCAGTGTACTTAAAGTGGATCCCGACCGCGCGCGCCCAGCTTCCAAGAACACCTCATTCTCCCCATCCTCCGCCTGCAAAGTGTCGCGTTGTGGTGTGTGTGTGTTGTGTGTGTTGTGTGTTGTGTGTGTTGTGTGTGTGTGTGTGTGGTGATGTGTGTTGTGTGCGTCAAGGCAAGAAGAAGGACCAAGTCGCCTTGCGCCACCACACAGCTGGAACTGCAAGCTCTTAGTCGCTGCAGGCCATCACCATCACCATGAAGAGAGGAAGACATGTCACAACAACGCAGTAGCAGCGGCAGCGGCAGCAGCTGACCTTCTGCAGCTGAAAGGCATGGCGAGCCCGCTTCAGCTCCTCCACGCGCTTCTTGTGCGCTGCAATGCGCTCCTGTATTGGAGGGTGAACGCAGAACATACTCGTATCAGCTGTGTACGATGTGTGCGGGCCATATTTGGACATGCATGCGTGTGTGTGTGTGTGTGTGTGTGTGCGTGCGTGCGACCAAGAGCCACAACACCAACCTTGGCGGTGCTCATCATTGGCGGCTTGCTGCTTGTTGTTGTTGGTGGGCTGAGGAAAATTGATTATTATCTTTACACACTTTTCCGCAAACACCCCCCGCCTTGATGACGCATCCCTCCAACCATGTGTATTTGTGTGTGTGTGTGTGTGTATGCGTGTGTGTGTGTGTGCGTGTGCGTGTGTGTGTGTGTGTGTGCGTGTCTCCCTCCCTCGCTCTCGCTCGCTCTCTCGCTCGCTCTCTGTCAGCGTCTTTGCGTGGTATCAATGATATGTTCAACGGTTTCAGGGTCGAGTATGTGAAGGTGACGAAAGGAAAAACGGAAGCGCAATGAATAATGAACGAGAGGGATCAGGGGGGTCAATGCCAATGGCATGTTCAATGAACCGCAACAACAACAAATCAAGGGAGAATGGGGCTGCATGTAACGCAATAACAGGGACGAAAATGAATGCGAAACGAGGGAAGAAAGCAGTGCGTCCAGCAAGAACAAAAAACGGCACACACACACACACACACACACAACCAAAGACAACAAACGCAGCGGTGTTGGGGAGGTGGGGTCAAAACGCACGGCCAGCAGCAACAGCAGGCAGTGCTGACACATGGAACCAGCAAACACCAAAACAAAGCAACTCCAGGCAAACAGGAAAGCATTGTGCCTGCCTTGGGAGGGGAGGGGAGGGGTTTCAAAACAGAGGAGAAGAAAGGTGCGCCTGCGCCACCCGTCAGTGAGAAAAAAAAAAACGAAAGTTGTGTGTGTGTGTGTGGTGTTAACCGCGATGGTGGTATGGGGTGGGAACAAAACGGGGAGTAGGGAGGGAGGTCAGCAAAAGTGTGGAAAGCATGAATCAACAGCAGCGCGAGTTTGAGGAAGTGTCGTGTTCACAGTTCGTGTGCGGCCGCTGGTTCGACCGTCTTGATGTACTTGACAAACATGGAGAGGAGCGCTGTCGTGGGCCGCTTCAACGACGGCACCACAAACACATTCGCAGCAGGGAAATCGCCCTGCAAGGGAACCGTACGCAATGCGTGTGTGAGCGTGAGTGTTTGCATGTGTGTTTGCATGTGTGTTTGCACGTGTGTTTGCATGTGTGTGTGTATGTGTGTGTTGGTTGCGTATGTCCGCCTTTGGTTGTCTGTGTGTGTGTGTGTGTGTGTGTGTGTGTGTGTGTGTGTGTGTGTGTGTGTGTGTGTGTGTGTGTGTGTGTGTGTGTGTGTGTGTGTGTGTGTGCTGAACAGCACCGCACCTTGGCACCGGAGCGTTCGCAGACGCCCGTGGCCCAACCGGCCTCGTCAACCTCCGCCCACATCTTCGGCAGCAGAATAAGATCCCCCTGCTGGAAGCTGTGGAGGTGCAGTGTGGCGCATCGGGCGATGGCCATGACAACGGCGCACAGATGGAGGTGAGACCCAAACAGGACCAAAGAGCACGTGTCACGGGACGCGCAACAGGACTCGCAATGTAGTCACACACACACACACACTCTCACTCACACACACTCACACACACTCACATTCACTCACATTCACTCACACACACACTCACTCACTCACTCACTCACTCACTCACTCACTCACTCACTCACACACACTCACGCTGTCCCTCACTCACAAGCCATCGCGGTACCTGAGGAATGCGGAGTTGTTGCCTGGTGCGCGGTAATCAAGGGAGGCGATGCAGTACTTGGAGCGGTAGACAACGCCCTGGTGGAACTGGGTGATGAGCTCACGCAGACGCGCGCCCTCACGCGTCTCAACACGGACAGTGGACAGGCCATCCGGTGTCACATACGACACGCTAAACTCCTGCAGCTGTGTTTGTTTTGGGGGGGTGGAGGAGATAGGAGGAGTTGGAGGGAGCCGAGCAAGAGTGAATGTGTGCACACTTGCTTTGAAGCCGCTCGTGACGTGCAACAACACGCTCACATGACATCTTCTTCCTCGCCACATGACACACACACACACACACGCAAAATACACATGACACCACCGCAACAACAGCAAAAACAGCAACAGTAACAGTAGCAATGTCAGCAGTGCGACGCAGACCTCTTGGTCGTCCTCGTGGACGGGTTTGAGCGGAGAGACGTCGACAAACTGGTCAAAGGGCGCGCAGAAGCGCTCACCGCCAGCAGCGGCTTGCGCGACAGCTTTCGACTCAAAGAAGTACAGGCCTTTGCAGTTGACAAGCACAGCCATGTCATCCATCGTCTTCTTGCCGTCAACAACCAGATCGCAGTGCTGAAGCGTTGTTACGATGCGAATCAGGACGGTGATGGTGGAAGCGTGGGAGCGTGGGAGCGTGGAAAGGTAGCAAAGTTAAGTGAGATGACACCAGGATACATCAAACGAGGTGTAAGAACATCACAAGCACGCGCGGTATGCCCACACACATAGCACAGAAACACGCCTGTACACCACTTCACGCTCTGTGCCTGTCTGTGTGGGTACGCACCAGGAACCTGCGGGAGAACTCAATGAACCAGTGCTCGCGCGCGTATTGGACAACCTCGACCTTCACATCGTCCGACGTGCACGCGTTGCCGTAATATTCCTTCTGCTCGCGCGTGGTGGAAACGGTGTTGTAGGCGCAGTGTTGATGGCGGGGGGGGGGCGAGTGGTGGTGGTGGTGGTGGTGGTGGTGGAAGAAACATGCGGTGAACATGGGGTCAAGATAGGCATGGAGAAAGTAGTGGCTGGGCGCAATGCAACGGGACACAGAGGGAACGTGTTTGTGCTTGGGGGAGGGGAGAACAGTGGCCAACGTGTGAGCAACATGACAACGTACGGAATCAAACGCAGTGGTGGCGAGCTGTGCCCATTCCTCAGGTGTCTTGACGTGCATGCTATAGGGAGAGCATGTGAGGCATGTGAGAAAGGTGTAACAAGACATAAGAAACAACACACACGAAGGCGAGCTCGCGCAATCGCATGCGCACACATCCACACACACACACACATCCACACACACACATCCACACACACACATCCACACACATCCACACACACACACACATCCACACCAACACGTGTACGACGCCATCGCCTGCCCACCCCTCTTGCCCCTCCTCTGCACCCCCCTCCCATTGTACTGACCCTGCGACGGGCTGCGATCGGAGCTGCTTGAGGAGCTTCTGGGGCTTGAGCACGTGGCCGTACTTGATGTAGTAGCGCTGGGCCAGCAGCATGGCCAAGTCATCAACGGTGTCGCACACGTAGAACCCACGGATCATGCCATCCATAATCTGCGAGTAGACAAGCTGCAGGTTGGCGGTGCCCTCAAACCACGGCGCAAAGCACTCCTTGCGCAGCACAGCCAGCCACGGCCTGCCCCAAGTGACGGAGGTGGTGTGAGGAGGTGGTACAAGGGGTGTTACTGTAAGGGGGGTGGCGGCAGTGACGGACACGACACGAGCGCGTCAACCGTTCAACACACATGAACACACACACACATGCACACACATTCACGCACGATCATAAACATGCAAACATGCAAGCACGCGGTCGCACACGCGTCCGCAACAAGCATGTGAGTGTGAGTGTGAAGGCAGGAGGCTGTTCCCATTGCGCACCTCCGCTGGGAGATGAGGCGCCAGTCTGCCTTGGAGGACATGAGATTCTCGTACTCAAACACGGCGTCCATCACGTGCGAGTAGCCCGTGCTGAGCGACGTCATCTGCACACAAGAAAACGTGTGTGTGTGTGTGTGTGTGTGTGTGTGTGTGCGTGTGTGTGTGTGTGTGTGTGTGTGTGTGTGTACGTGTGAGGGGATTGCATGCGTGTGCGTGTGCGTGTGTGTATGCATATGTATGTGTGAGGTGATGTGGATTTGTTCAAGGGGACTTGTGTGTGTGTGTGTGTGAAGTAAGACACACAAATGCTCAAACGAAAATGGCGCAAAGCAAAACATCAAAAGGAACGTGTCAGCAGTGCACAGGGTCGAGAACGCACAATCTCTGTTGAAGGGGATGTGATGTAGACGGTGAGGCCAAGTTCGGGCGACAGTTCGTCGTGCTCGTAGCATTGCGCAATCAGCTGTCACACAGAGCGTAGGGAGGAAGGGACGAACGTGGAGGGGGTGACACAAGACGGTGAGAAGGACATGGGTGAGGTACAACCTCAAATGCAATCACGCGTATGTGCTTGCATATGAATGTGTGTTTGTGCGCGTGTGTGTGGGGGGGGGGGTAGTGTGTACATGAATATATGTGTGCGTGTGTGTGTGTGTGTGTTTCGACGCGTGAGACGACCTCTTTGAGGCAACACTCGTGCGCATACCTCATCGTTGGTCGACTGTGAATCGCACTTGACGGTGTGGCTGCCGACGTAAAAGTGGATCATAAACTCCACAGGCGCTCTCTTGAACGCCATCTGTCGTGGTGATGCGAGTGAAGCCATGACTCTGCGGGGTGAGAAAGATGTTACACACAAGCTGACGCACATGCACCGTCGACAGGTGGGAAAAAATACCAAAGGGAGCAATCGAGAGACAGCAGTCACAACTGTAACAAAGCCGCACACCATACACCGCACCACACACCACGCCACAAGTATACACCATACACCACGGCACACCGCACCACGGCACAGTGCCGCACCATCATCTCGACGGCTGTTGTTGGGTGGTGGCGTGTGCCGCCGCGCTGGGTGCGCTCAAGCTGCTGCAGGAGGAAGGGCGAGTATGCGGGCGGGCCCTCGTGCATAAACCGGCGCAGCACATCTGGCACGCCGTTGCAAGGTCGTGGTGGTGGTGGTCGTGCGGGTGGTGGTCGTGGTGGTGGTGGTGCGGGTGGTGGTCGTGGTGGTGGTCGTGCGGGTGGTGGTCGTGCGGGTGGTGGTCGTGGTGGTGGTGGTGCGGGTGGTGGTCGTGGTGGTCGTGGTGCGGGTGGTGGTGGTCGTGGTGGGGACGCAACACGTCGGTGCGGGCCATGGTGTGAGATCAAGCAAAGTGGTTTGAACACGAAAGAGGGTGTGGTGAACGTGTTCGTTGTTGCGTGTCCCTTTGTTGCATTCTTTTGTTTTGAGTTTGGGGGGAGCGGAGGAAGACAGTCTGGCCCATGTGACCAGCCTCGAGCGAGTGCACACGCAGATCATTGGCGCAAGTGCGGCCAAGCATGCAAATACGTGCATGTACAACTACATGCATGTGCAAATACAAGTCACGCATCCCACACACGCCCGCACTGACCGATGAAAGCGTCTGAAGGGAGGAAGCAGCCGGCGATGAGGGCGAGGAGGATGTATCCGCGGGCACGCGAGACCTTGTTGGGGTTCTCCGTGAGCTGCTTGCACACTTGGCAGTAAATCTCGTCGCGTGTGTTTGCGCGCGTGATGCCCGTGTTGCAGATGAGCTGGCAGCAGTTGCATGGCGGTGGGTGTACGCGAGCCACAGTGGTGTGTGCATTGTGAATGGTGTGTGTGTGTGTGTGTGCGTGCGTGCGTGCGTGTATGTGTGTGGAGGGAAGGTGAGCGGCGATATTGAAACGAAAAAGAAGGCAGCACCAACACCAGCACAAGCAGCACCAGCAGCAAGTCGTGGGGAGCCAACGGGCGCGACAAAAAAACAAGCCGTACACATTTTCAGTATTACAGCCCAATAAACAAACACACCGCAAAAGCAACGTTTGCCACACTTCACAGAGTCCACACAACACACACGCCACACGCGAGTGTCGCACCTGCACGCGCTGGAGGTTGTCTGAGGTTTCTTCGTCGTCTTTTGGCGGGAGATCACCCATGAACCGCTGGATGGTGAACCAGACAGTGAGCACGCGCTCTGCGTCCTGGTCTCCCCAAATCTGCTTCAGGAGTGGCCCCGTGATGGCGCCGCGCTTGTGCTTGTACGAGCTCGTGCTCTTGTCTTGGAAGTACTTGCGCGCAAACTGCACATACGACATGGTATTGGCGCCGCCATCGTCGTTGCCCGTGCCTTCACCTGAGTGTGTGTGTGTGTGTGTATGCGCAAGTGTGTGTGTGTGTGTGTGTGTGTGTGTGTATGCGCAAGTGTGTGTGTGTCGAATGGGTGAACATGTGGATGTATGCAAGGACACAAATACAAGACACGCGGACACTCACAACGAACAACTCCAAAACAACACCCAAGGCTGAGCGAACCAACAAGCAACTTTCAGAGGACATGGAAAAGAAACTGTGCATACACCGTGGTGGGAAACAATCAGGTCACACCGCTCTTTTGCGGGTAAGAAACAACAGCACAACGTACCGAGGAAGGTAAAGGCGGAGTCAATCTCCTTCAGTTCCAGTGTATCCCCCATGGTGAGTCGTGGTACTGTCGTTGCACAAGCAGGTTTGGGTGAACGGTTAGCAGGACATGCGCCTCGCGCCACTCACTGAATGGGTTAAGACGACCAAGCAAAGCAAAGAAGACCGAGCAATGAAGCATAAAAGCAACAACACCAACAAAATGTGCGACGAAGCATATAATATGGCAACGACAAACAAAAACCAAATTCAAAACAGGAACCACCGACAGCAAACTACAGCCCAAAACCAGCACCACACACACACACACACACACACATGTACACCAGGGCGCACACACATACACACACATACAAGGACACGTGCGTACGTTGTTCGTGGTGAAACCCGCGCTGTGCACTCCGTGGCAAGCGAGAACAGAGAGAGGGCAAAGACAACAACAAACAAACGCGGTGGTTGGAGGCGATGGCACCACAACCCAAGAAGCAACAAGCAACAGGGCGTTGCGCGTCGTCGCTGAAGAATGGCAAAACAACAGCACAAAGCGTAGCGCGTTCTGGGTGATTTCAATTTTGATGACGTCAGCAGCACGCAAGCAGGGGAGCGAATGAAGACTCACAAACGCAAAAAGGAGGAGCGAGCGAACAACACACACACAAACGAACCAAACTCCACAAGAACGGGCCGGCACGACTACATGCAGAACGCCATCGCCCGGGCCTTCATGCAGCTCAACCGCCGCGCGACACAAGAGCCCTCCGGCTTCCCAGGCGCAGGCGGCAAGCGCGGTGACATCCTCAGCTTCGACAAGTCTGGCGATTACACCGTGTTTGACCTCGTGTTTGCCGCCCCCGCGGCCAGCTCATACCAACCACAGGCCGCCAAAGTCAACCTCTACGCGGCGTCGCAGGCGGAACAACGCAAGATCAAGAAGTACCAGGCCATCCTACGAGACCAGGGCGACTTCAAATTTGTGCCGATTGCGATCGAGGCTGGCTCGGGCGCCTGGGGCTCGAAGTTCCCGGAAGTTCTTCAGCATCCCGCATAAACTCTACAGATATAAGAACTTCATATCAACTAAACTAATAATCCTACATATACAATAAGCAGTAAAACACACAATAGAAGAAAACACACACACACACACACACACACACACACATACACACACACACCGGCTGGGGAGGCGACGTTGAATGTCTTCAAGCGCTCTGTGAGCTGGGGCCCCATCTCCGTGTTGACAGCCATCATGGGCTCCAGGTACTTGCGCACCACGCGGCTGAACGAAGCGCTTGCCTTGAGGGCGTTGGCGCGGATGTTCGCGTCAGAATGGTGCAGGAAGTTGTGCACAATCGCCTGCAGGCGCTCCCACTCCATCAGCGCCTTCCCGTTGTTGAAGCTGGCGAGCACAGAGAGCATGGCCTCCATCTGGCTCAGCGCGACCTTTCGCCGCTTGCGCACCATGCGCACCATCTGCCGCCGCCGCCGCCAGAACACGCGACGACGCGCAGCCGCCGTTGGATCATACGCCTGCACAGCATCGTCGCCATCGTTGGTGGCGTCGGCACCATCGCGCTTCGTGTCATCATCGTCAGCGTTGTCGTTGGAAGTGTCATCCTCCCGCTTGGGGCGCTTGCTATCACGTCCACCACGGCCACGACCACGTCCTCGACCACGACCACGACCACGACCACGGCCACGACCACCACGACCACGACCACCACGACCACCACGACCACCACGACCACCACGACGACCGTCGTGCTGCATGGCGCTGCGCTTCCGGCGCCGTTCATCATTGTCCCCATCGTCCTCCTCCTCGTTGACGCTCTCATCGTCACTGAGGTTGTCGAGGTCGCCGCCAAGATCCTCAATGCCGAGCGACTGCATCGAAATGCCTGCAGGCACGCACGACAACATGCAGATTGTGAAGCGAGGATTCGACGGTAAGTATTGAGCACAAGCGCTGAGGTCGGCACAGCAACCCGTGCAAACAACAGGTGTCATTTTAACCCTCTGCAATCGCCACAGCAGGGTGGAAGCGAGATCACATGCATGTTGGAGCAAAATAAAGACACGACAGCAGCGCGTGAACGCACCCGCGAGGCCGGCGTTTGCAACGGAAATGTCCTGCAGTTTTCCTGCTCCCTCTTCGACCACCAGGTAGTCGTCGTGCAGCTGGAGGAACTTCTCAACCAGCGTCCTGTTGAGGTGGACGGAGGGATGGCCATGAGCATGGAGACGAGCGGAGATGGGAAAGGGGGATACAATACAACAACGTTCAAGCGCAGCCCTCTGTTGAGCAGCAATGGTGCTGAATCCCCGGTACACATCAAACCAAATGCACCAATCTCGCAGGCAGGATGGCTTGCACAGGCAATCTCACAAACGCACGCGCACAGGCGATCTCACAAACACACGCACACACGCGCACAGGCGATCTCACAAACACACACGCATGCACATACAACAAGCATACCAACGCACCTGTGCTTTTGCTCGGTGAGGAGGGGCCAGGTGTTGGCGAGCTCGGCAAAGGTTTGCATCAGCTTGAGCACATCAACGCGCGGTTGCGGGCACACGGCGTTGACAAACCGGTCTGCAACCTGCGTCATGTTGTTGTCCCAGTCCGGCTTCTGCAGAAGGTTGACGCGATGCTCCAGCGGGTGCACCAGACACCGGAACGACAGCACGTCCAAGCGGTCGTCGACGATGCGGTGTGCCGAGTCTGTCACCTGCTGCTGGCCAATGGTGCGCGCCTGCTCCGTCATGATCTCGCCCATCTCCACGCTCGCGTCAAGCACGCGCATGAACTTGTCCTCAAAGAGCGTCCACAGCACGAGCGGGCGGCAACGGGCAAACTCGCCAAGCGCCTTCTTCGCGTCGGCCCACAGCAGCGTGAGGTTGACGTGGTGCAGGCCAAGCAGGTATGCCATGGTCAGGCGGAGCAGCATGTCGGGGGTGCGGCTCAGGTACTTGCCCGAGGACGCGCGCATAATCTGAAGCCGCTTGTCTCTGTTGCAGATGAAGGAAGGGAGGTGGAGTGAGCAAGAAGAGAGGGTGAAGGAGATCATGGATTGCGACGAAGAAGTTGGCCATGAAAGAGTGAGGGTGGTGTGGATGTCAGGACAATAACACAAGCAGAGCAAACTCGGACGCTCACAAGACGACAACACGCTCATCAGCACAACACACACACACACACACACACACACACACACACACACACACGCACACATGAGCTCACCTGTGGGCGTGAAGGGTGAGGGGAAGCGCCTCTGCTGTTCGCAGGAGGTGCATGATGTCACAAGGGGCCGTCGAGTTGCGTCGTGCTCACTTCCAGCACGTCGCCTTCGCTCTTCTTGTCTTCCGTCATCATCGCCATCCGCATCGTCGTCGTCAGTGCTGGTGGGGTCTTTGCCGTGCTTGTTGCCCTTGCCCCTTGTTGCCCTTTGCCTTGGCCTTGTTTTTCTTCTTCCCT